GAGAAAGAAGGTGCGTTCATCAGTTCATATTTTTATACCTTAAGGTATTTGAAGGCACTTTAAGGCATTTAAAGCAGAATGCAGAAATCAACCCAATTGCATGCCGAGGAATAAAAATTTCCCCAAGTTCAAATCAACACCATGAAGTTAGTTCTTTTTATTTCATTCAACAAATGTTTATTAAGTAAGCTAGCTTGGGAAAGTTATTTAACATTTTGGGTCTCAGTTTCCACATTAGTAAATAGCAGATACTAGGAGTACCTGCTTTATAGGATTGGTGTAAGGATCAAGTGAGTCGACTGGTGCCCGGATGCCTCTTCAACACTGTCGTCAGCCACTCTCCCCCAGCTAACAAATATCTACTATAACCCTCTTTTCCCTTTCCTCAAAGCCTTCCCACATGCATTTTCCTTCACGAAAACACCCTGCCTCTGGCTGGTTTCTATTCTTCCCTCATGTGTTGTAAGAGCAGGAATAGCAGAAAAAGATACAGGGGCCAAAGCTGACACACACACACACACACACACACACACACACACACACACACACACACACACAGTAGATAAGTATGTTTGTGTGTGCCAATGCACACATACACGCACTTGCATATTTGTATATAAGTCAGCAGTACAATGCTAGTAGGATTGGAGGCAGTGTCTACATGAAATCAACGTTCTAACAGGAGCATGACACCCTCATGCAGTAAGTAACCACACTACTGTCCTCTGTGTTAACCTGACCTTTATAAGAAGAGTTCACTCTGTTGTGGCCCCTGATGTTTGGGGTTTTTTTTAAAGCAATTGTGAATGTATTAGGGAGATTCCAAAAAAGTGTACCATGGATTATCAAAAGCATGAAAAATCAGTCCTGAGAAGAAAGTTGTAATGATTGGAAGAAAGACAGGACTAACAGATGACCAAATGCCTGCCTCTAGAATGACCATTAGATGCCATTTTAGGGAAGGCTGGGTCTGTGGAAGACAGAGGAAACAGCTTCCTTACACCACAAGACAGACCATTTTTATGACAATATAGTACACTGAGAACTGGATTCTTGGTGTCTAAAACATCTAGATTGTTTTTCCTAGAATTTAGAACCCCTGAGTTAGCTCCCTGACCTTACCACTAACTCGCTGTGTGACTTTAGGTGAGCAATTAATCTAAGTTTCAGTTATTCTCTTCTGCCAAAAGGGAATAATAATATCTACCTCCTAGGTTTTTGTAAAGTTTTAATGAGATAATAATTTGTTCCTGGCTTCTAGTAACAATTCAACAAAAGCTGGCTCTACTCTCCACTTCCTACCTTACTCCCTCAAGATAGGTCAATCAGTATTAAGAAATTATGATCACAAATTATGATCACAAAGTAAAACACATTTTACTTATGTTTAAACTATATATAAGAATCATTGAATGCAAAGAATACTAAATACCAAATGAAATTACTCTGAAAGGATGCATTTGGAAAAAAGAAGGAGTTTGTTATAGAACAATCATTTTAAACAGAAACAGTTTAAAAGGTAGCAAAGGCATCCTTGATGCACAAGCAGTAGTCCATAAGATTAATAAAAATGTTTAGGCAGTCAGCAATTTGGCTAATTCACATGGGTGACTGACTGGGAGAAAGAAGGCTAAAGAGTTAAATTTAGATAAAGAAACAGACTCTTCCTTAGAGACAACTTGAACATATAGATTGCACCACACATTTTTGAGTGATAGATAGAAATGGAAGAGATGTATGCCTCTTTTGCCCTTATCTTTTAAGGACAGCTGAACAAATGGTACATTCTTCAGGAATAGAGTAAGTGGTGATGAACCATGTGTTTTCCAACATGACCTGGAAAATGAGTGTCAGCGCCTACAGTGGGGCTCTCCAACCCCTGGGAGGACCCATAACGCTGATGTAGCAAAATCACAACGGATGACAGAGTGGATTGGTTTCTTTGACGTCAGGGGCATTGTTCATGCAAAATTCATTCCTCAAGGTCAAACAGTCCATCGAACTTATGAAGAAATTCCAAAGCCTCTGATAGATTCTCAGCATGGCAGAAAGAGGAAATTCTAGTTCAAGGCTCCAACTCAAACTAAGCCCCTGCAAAGTACTTTTTTTTTAATCTTTTTCTTTTTACTTATTTATTTTGGCGGCGCCGAGCAGTATGCGGATCTTAGTTCCCAGACTAGGGGTGGAACCCCTGCAGTGGGAGCTCAGAGTTCTAACCATTGGACCTCCAGGGAATTCCCTGTAAAGTACTTTTGATATTAAAAAAAAAAGAAAGAAAAAACCTGACAAGACGCCCTCCTTGACCAAACTTTAGTCAGGCTCCTCTGAACCTTCTTATCAGCTTGGTCTCAACCTTTGGATGTTAGGACAGTCTTTACTTTGCTCAATTTTAGCAAAATTCCTGCTAAATCAGTTTAGCTAGGATCCTCACCCTCAATATCTGATCACCCTCCATATTGGATCAAATTTCTCATCTCCTCTGCTTGGTATCACATCACCCTGGTCTGCCTTCAGCAAGAATCCTAAGTCTGTTTAGCCAGAATCCCCCTTTACCCAGATAGAATTTTAGTAATTTTCCATCCACTGACCCCCACCCTTCTCCTTGGCTAGAAATCCCCACTTGTCCATTCAGAATGGAGCCCAATTCTGTACTGAGGTCTCTCTACCCCTATTACAATCATTCCTGAATAAAATCTACTTTCACAGCTCTAACTTCTGTCTGGCTCTAGTTTTCAACACTTGCCAACCTGATCACTCATCTTTTCCCCAGTCTTGGCTCCAATTACATCTAACTGTTCCTCGAAATGAAATACATTCTCAGAAGATGAAGATTCCCCACCAATAAAGAAAGGTATATGAAAGTCTGTCAATGTTGTAGGCTTAGAAAATAAAACCAGGGAATTCCCTGGTGGTCCAGTGGTTAGGGACTCTGAGCTTCCACTGTAGGGGCCACGGGTTCAATCCCTGGTCAGGGCTAATAAGATCCAGCAAGCCGAGTGCGTGGCCAAAAAAAAAAAAAAAAACCAAGAGAGGGGTGTGGAAATCTTCACATTGTTTGAACAAATGGCCCCAGGTGACTAAAGATGATAACAACTATGTAACTGTTTATGCTTTGTTTTTTAGAGATTATACTGCGTCATAGGCATGGCTCTTGCACTCATTAGGTTAAGTCACATAGACACAGCATCCAATTACTTGAACTAACTTGCCTGAGGGTCTTGGTTATCTCCAGTTTGACTTCCTAGCTCACTTCTACAGATGCCTCTAAATAAAGCTCATTTTAAACCCTTCATCTCTGACGAAGTGAAGTTCTTTCTGAATAATTTTTCCTTACCCTCACTCCAGGCCAACACTGTTCTAAGGAGTTTATTAATGTCCTTGCTGGTTATATCCTGAGATGTCAGACCTCACCTTAGACTTAATCTCTCTCTCTCCCCCTCCCTCCCCCTCTCCACTTTGGAGTCCCTTGAGCTACCCAGTCCCCATTTACACCTGTCACTTCCCAAGACTTTCCCTACTGCCTCCTTCACCAGACTCTGTCCTGAAGTCTGGCGAGCAGAGTCCTTAGTTTCTGTTTGAACATCTGTCCCTCTAACTACCCTACCGTCCTCCACCCTCATCCATCCCCAGTCATCCCCCTGGGGCCTCAATCTCACATCCTAGGGCACCCGAGCCCCCTAACTCCATTTACTGGTCACTTCCACCTCCACCCCACCCCCACTAGCAAGGCAAGGTGCCCAAGGCACCATTGTTCTCAACATAATCATTAGACTTTTCTATTCTTTTTCTTTTTCTTTTTTTTTTTTGGCTGTGCAGCACAACTTGCTGGATCTCAGTTCCCCGACCAGGGATTGAACCTGGGCCCTCAGCAGTGAGAGCTCAGAGTTCCAACCACTGGACTGCCAGGAAATTCCACGCTTAGACTTTTCTGAACTTAATTTTTTCTTTCTTTTCTTAAACAAAGGGATTTTTCACATTAGCAGTCAGGGCTTAGATTACCCATTCTGTCCAAGAGAAGTCCAGATGGGACAGTTTAGGGACAAGAGTTCATTTAGCAAGTCCTTGAGAGCCTGACAAAGGACAGGCACCGTTCTCAGTTCAGGTGAGCCCAATGCTGAGCTGGGGCTCATGCGCTTGGCCTGGGGGTCAAGGACCCAGAAGCCACCCAGCCAGTGGGAGCAAGAAGGTTGGTGGTAAGGTGAGAGGGCAGCCAGTACTGAGTACATCTAAAGACCCTTCTGTTGTTTTCCTTCAAATAACTTCCAAAGGGGAATAGCTTAGAAAACTCTGAGAGCATTCAAAGAACAAAGATGTGAAAGGGGCTGGAAAATAGGACCCACGACGGACGGGGAAAAGAAGCTATGATTCTTAGTCTGAGGACGAGAAAGTCTAGAGGCCATTTCACAACGGCCTGCAAGGTTTAAAGGGATATTCCTCAGAGGATGGAGACCAGCTGTTCACAGTCTCTAGTGAGGACAGAACAAAAGGAAATGAGCTTCAGCTCCCACAGGAGTGACTTAAGCTAGAAAATAATCTCTGCCAATGAGGATATCAGGCTTGGGATAAGTTATCAAGGGAGATCAGGGCCTCTCCTCCTCTGGAGTTCTTCAAAACACGGAGGAGCCCGTTTTCCTGGGCATATGGGGTGCAATTCTGTTGGCAGACAGAGGAGGGGAAGGGGACCAACGTCCAGTCTCACCAGCCACGTGAGCCTATGACTTTTACAAATACCCGGCGCTTTTGTGTAGCAGCATAATAGTTTTTCGGACTCTGGTATTTGCAGAATTGAGTCAGGGGAGAGGTAAAAGAGAAGGCACATGAGGAATGAGGAAAAGGAAGAGAAACTGTATCGTTTTTCCGTGGGAGAAGGAAGGAGAAACTGCAAATAACCAAAGTGGGCCCTTAGTAACTCAATTTCTCAAGTAAGAATCTCTTACTTTTTCATATGAAAATTAGCTTCTATATAAATACACTAATTGGCCATTCTTCTTTCTTTCCAGGTTTCCTGACATCCATTTGTACGGTCCCTTTATACCTTCAATATTAGCCTGTTTCAGTTTCCTGCACAGTAAAAGCCAAAGACAGATTCTTGCTATTGAATCCAACACTTCACAAATCCAAAGCCAGAATCTTTGGTATGACATTACCCATCTATTTAAACTCAAACCTGGCACCAAATTCCCAGATATTTTTCTTATTTTTAATTCCTTAAGACTTCTGAGTGTCTCTCCAGCCTTCAGCCTGTTTCATTAAGTCCAACACTGAAGGTTGACTCCTACGTCCCCAGAGCCAGTGTCTCTGAATCTGATGGGCATCTAGGGACAGCCATGCCCACGGGGCTGAAGTACCCAGAAACACTCCCCATCTCTCCAAGGACGCAAGGCTCCAGAAGCCAGCCAGGAGCGGCCCTCACAGTGCAGAGCGTGACATCATCTGTTCCTGGCATCTGCTCCCACTCAGAGCAGGCCCTGAGGATGACTGGAAGGAAGGAACACTTGTCTCTGAGTCTCAGCCAGTGTCCGGTGGTCCACCCACCCCCGGAGTGGCCACCCGAAGGACCACCTTCCTCAGGCAGCTGCAATGGCAGGTACCAGGCTGTGAGCCCCACCAGAGATGAGCCTTCTCTGTCCTGTTCACTGGGTGTGTCCCCGGTGCCTAGAACCGTGCCTGGTACACGGAAGGGAGCATCAATATTGATATTCGGTGACTGAACTAACAGATGCCAGAGTAGGAAGAGGCCTTGGAGACCATCCATCCCTACCCCTCATTCCAGACAAAGTTCAGTGTGAGGCCTTTCTCAGGCTTGTCACAATCCTTTTCTTTTCCTTTTCCTTTTTTTTCTGGCCGCACCTCGCGGCACGTGGGATCTTAGTTCCCTGACCAGGGATCGAACCCGTGCCCCCTGCAGTGGAAGCACAGAGTCCCAACCGCTGGACCACCAGGGAAGTCCCCAAGTCCACACTAAGATGTTAATGGGTACTAATGAATTTCTCTCTCTCTCTCTTTCCCCCTCTAGGACTCTAGGGGGAAGCTGACCTTCCCTCAGACCCTCTTGCGCCAGCCCCTCCCTTGCTGGGCAGTGCACACTCATCCCCAGATGCAGAGAAGAAAGGATTCTCCTCCATCGTGCCCGAATTCTTGAGTTGGCGCCAAGAAACAGCCAGCTGGAGCAGAGCCAGTTGTGATAGAGTTTCACGCATCGGCCAAGAACAGATTCTGCCCAGGAACTCGCACTCACACAGCCCCGTCCAAGGAGAGTGAACACAGAGCGAGCCCTCACAAGGTGTAGGAAGCAAGAGGGTGGCACTCGGGGGCCCCAGGAAGCCCTGTCATCACCCCAACCCGAGGCTGCCAGCAAGCCCGTGCCAGAGGAAGTGGGCTGTGCTGCCAGAGGCTGTGCTGAGGTGAGACACAGGGTAGAAGCATCTGGCTAGCAGCAGTGCCAGCTCCCAGACCTGGCTGTGTGTGCCCAGAATCACCTGCGAGCTTTTTAAAAGCAGCTCCATTGCACCCAGGCTCAGATCCACCAACTGTGTCAGAGTCGCAGAGGGTAGGTCCCAGAATCTGTGTTTTTTGAAACGCTGTGATTCTGAGGTCCAACCCAGTTTGAATAACTGCCCTACTGGCTGACTGACCTACATTCTCTCCCTACAACTCTTTTTCCCCTTTGGGAGGGAATTTATCCCTCAAGGTGCACCAGTAGACTGTCAGCATCACTGAGGCTTTCCTATCATTTCCAGAAGGAGTCTGACTGTGCTCCTCTGGGTCACATGTGAGTGCACATCCCTAAGCCAGAAGCTCCACTGAGTAACTGAGGTGAGTTTGACTCTTGCTCTGTTATGCGTTAGGAGGTGAGAGGCACGTGCAAACATTTGTTTATTCAATTCAGGAAACCCTACCACCCTCTCTGTCTTGGAGAGGGTTAGCAAAGGTGTGTTACCACACTCCTTAACCTCAGGAGTCACGCGGAGGGAAGCTAGACACGTAAACGGCTGAGCAGGAAGGGATGCTAATGGAAGCAGAGGTTCCCCGGGTGGAAACGATCTTTGCTGGGACTGGGAGGGTTCTGCTCAGTCACAATCGGAGAAGTAGGTCTCCTTTCACTGCACCTGCAGGCTCTGGTCCCAAGCATGTCCCAGGGGAGGGGACCTTTGTAGATTTCTGGGGTTATCTTTCTTATTTCACCACTCAGCAGGCTCTGGCCCCCTCAGTGCTTATCACCTGGAGCTGGGCTCTCGGCTGGTTTCATGGGACGGAGCCCCGTGTTTAAGCTCCCGTCTGGGGATCGGACGCTCCACCTCCTTCTGGCTGAGGCACCATGGGACACCTGCCCCCGACTCCGGTTCCTTCCTGGCTTCTCTTGTCGCCTCTCCGGCCTCTGAATCCTAGTCCCTGTGCCTCATAGCCCCTACACCACTGCTGCCAAGGCCCTTGGTCACATTTCTCCCCACTTGTCACAGCCCTACCTCGTGCCTCTTGCTGGCGCTCCATGACCCTGGTCACGTGACCTCGGAAATGTCACTCCCCTCTGTCACCCCCATCTCCTGGTTTCATACTCTGCCCGCTTCATCTCCTGCTGTTCCCTTCATCTGTCATTCTCCCTGCCCCCACCCCTCCCCTTACTCTAGCTCTAATGGGAGCATCCGATGATAGGAATCATAAGTGGAAAGCACACACTTAGAGGATTTCATGTATAAATGACACTGTTTTCCTTACTTACTATCACTGCCACGCAATTAGTTGCCCTTTAACCAGTGAGTTCTCCCAAAACAATGTCTTTAAAATAAAAATGCCCTTTAAATGTTTTCATCTCTATAAGATTTCTGTTCCGTGGTAATAATGGTGGCTGCTGCTTCTTTTATACACCTAAAGAGCTAGAGAATGTGCATTTACAGGAATTCTCAGCCTTCACTAAGCCTCTTAATCACCTGGGATAGTTTTTAACAACACAATGCCTGGTCTCCACCTTCAGGTGTTTCCATTCAATCGACCTGAAGTTGGGCTCTGCGTGTATGTGTATATATATATATATATATATATATTTTTTTTTGGTTTTTGTTTTTGTATTTGGCGGTACGCAGGCCTCTCACTGTTGTGGCCTCTCCTGTTGCGGAGCACAGGCTCCAGACGCGCAGGCTCAGCGGCCATGGCTCACGGGCCCAGCCGCTCCGCGGCATGTGGGATCTTCCCGGACCGGGGCACGAACCCGTGTCCCCTGCACCGGCAGGCAGACTCTCAACCACTGCGCCACCAGGGCAGCCTGCGTCAATATTTTAAACATACTTCCCAGGACAGGCTGATGTGCAGAAAGGCTTGAGAGTCACTGATTTATAGGAAAATCATTCATGATAAATGTATATTCAAATAGTCAATTCCTGGGAGGCTTGATTTACAGCAGTGGTTCCTAAACACATCCCTCTGAAGCAAGGCAGAAGATCTTAAATCCCGCCCTACCCCACCCACGCCCAATGACCACTAGAAAAGAACTCTGTGATAAAGAATCAAAAGGCAGGGCTTCCCTGGTGGTGCAGTGGTTGAGAGTCTGCCTGCCGATGCAGAGGACACGAGCCTGTGCGTCCGGAGCCTGTGCTCCGCAACCGGAGAGGCCAGAGCAGTGAGAGGCCCGCGTACCGCAAAGAAAAAAAAAAAAAAAGAATCAAAAGGCAACAAATCCGTGATTTTACAGCTAAACCAATGCTATAGGTACCTTAAAGGTAACCCAGAAATCTTCTAATTTGCTAGTGTTTTATCCATTATTTAAAGAACACAAGTTACTCAAAAACGCAAATTCATTGGCAGCATATCGCCAATGATATGTGCCTGAAGAAGGAAAAGATGGGGGGGGTTATATAATCATTCACTTCAGCAATAAGCATATAGATGAATACATGGATTAGGGACTAGTTACTGGGAAATAATAGGCCCAAAATACTGTCTATAAAAATATGCACCTAGGGATTGGTTCAAGATGGCAGAGTAGAAGCATGTGTGTTCACTCCTACTTGCGAGAGCACCAGAATGACAACTAACTGCTGAATAATCATTGACAGGAATACACTAGAACTCACCAAAAAAGATACCCCACATCCAAAGAAAAAGGAGAAGCTGCAATGAGACGGTAGGAGGGGCACAATCACAATAAAATCAAATCGCATAACCCCTGGGTGGGTGACTCACAAACTGGAGAACAATTATACCATAGAAGTCCACCCACTGGCGTGAAGGTTCTGAGCCTCACGTCAGGCTTCCCAACCTGGGGGTCCGGCAATAGGAGGAAGAATTCCCAGAGAATCAGACTTTGAAGGCTAGCGAGATTTGACTGCAGGACTTCAACAGGACTGGGGGAAACAGAGACTCCACTCTTGGAGGGCACACACAAAGTAGCGTGCGCATCAGGACCCAGGGGAAAGGAGCAGTGACCCCAAAGGAGACTGAATCAGACCTACGTGCTAGTGTTGGAGGGTCTCCTGTAGAGGTGGGGGGTGGCTGTGGCTCACCATGGGGACAAGGACACTGGCAGCATAAGTTCTAGGAAGTACTCCTTGGTGTGAGCCCTCTCGGAGTCCCTCATTAGCCCCACCAAAGAGCCTGTACGCTCCAGTGCTAGGTCGGCTCAGGGCAAACAACCAACAGGGAGGGAACTCAGTCCCACCCATCAGCAGACAAGTGGATTAAAGTTTTACTGAGCTCTTCCCACCAGAGGCACACCCACCTCTACCCACCACCAGTCCCTCCCATCAGGAAGCTTGCACAAGCCTCTTAGATAGCCTCATCCACTAGAGGGCAGACAGCAGAAGCAAGAAGGACTACAATCCTGTAGCCTGTGGAAGGAACACCACATTCACAGAAAGACAGACAAAATGAAAAGGCAGAAGACTATGTACCAGATGAAGGAACAAGATAAAACCCCAGAAAAACAATTAAATGAAGTAGAGATAGGCAACCTTCCAGAAAAAGAATTCAGAATAATGATAGTGAAGATGATCCAGGACCTCAGAAAAAGAATGGAGACAAAGATTGAGAAGATGCAAGAAATGTTTAACAAAGACCTAGAAGAATTAAAGAACAAACACCTAGAAGAATTAAAGAACAAAAAAACAGAGATAAACAATACAATAACTGAAATGAAAAATACACTAGAAGAACTCAATAGCAGAATAACCAAGGCAGAAGAACGGATAAGTGACCTGGAAGACAGAATGGTGCAATTCATTGCCACAGAACAGAGTAAAGAAAAAAGAATGAAAAGAAATGAAGACAGCCTAAGAGACCTCTGGGACAACATTAAATGCAGCAACATTTGCATTATAGGGCTCCCAGAAGGAAAGAAGAAAGAGAAGGACCTGAGAAAATATTTGAAGAAATTATAGTTGAAAACTTCCCTAACATGGGAAAGGAAATAGCCACCCAAGTCCAGGAAGTACAGAGTCTCAGGTAGAATAAACCCAAGGAGAAACATGGCAAGACACATGGTAATCAAACTGACAAAAATTAAAGACAAAGAAAAATTATTAAAAGCAACAAGGGAAAAACAACAAATAATATACAAGGGAACTCCCATAAGGTTAACAGCTGATTTCTCAGCAGAAACTCTATGAGCCAGAAGGGAGTGGCACGGTATATTTAAAGTGATGAAAGGGAAGAATCTACAACCAAGATTACTCTACCTGGCAAGGATTGCATTCAGATTTGACGGAGAAATCAAAAGCTTTACAGACAAGCAAAAGCTAAGAGAATTCAGCACCACTAAACCAACTCTACAACAAATGCTGAAGGAAATTCTCTAAGTGGGAAACACAACAGAAGAAAAGGACCTACAAAAACAAACCCAAAACAATTAAGAAAATGGTCATAGGAACATACATATCCATAATTACCTAAATGTGAATGGATTAATGCTCCAACCAAAAGACACAGGCTAGCAGAATGGATACAAAAACAAGACCCATATATATGCTGTCTACAAGAGACCCACTTCAGACCTAGGGACACATACAGACTGAAAGTGAGGGGATGGAAAAAGATATTCCATGCAAATGGAAATCAAAAGAAAGCTGGAGTAGCAATACTCACATCAGATAAAATAGACTTTAACATAAAGAATAATACAAGAGACGAGGTAGGACACTACATAATGATCAAGGGATCAATCCAAGAAGAAGATATAACAATTATAAATATATATGCACCCAGCACAGGAGTACCTCAATACATAAGGCAAATGCTAACAGTTATAAAAGAGGAAATTGACAGTAACACAAAAATGCTGGGGGACGTTAACACCTCACTTACACCAATGGACAGATCATCCAGACAGAAAATTAATGAGGAAACACAAGCTTTAAAGGACACAATAGACCAGATAGATTTGATTGAGATTTATAGGACATTCCCTCTGAAAACAGCAGATTACACTTTCTTCTCAAGTGCACATGGAACATTCTCAGGATAGATCAATCTTAGGTCACAAATCAAGCCTCAGTAAATTTAAGAAAATTGAAATCATATCAAGCATCTTTTCTGACCACAACTCTATGAGATTAGAAATCAATTACAGGGGAAAAAATGTAAAAAAAAAAAAAAAACCCACAAATACATGGAGGCTAAACAATACTTACTAAATAACTAAGAGTTCAATGAAGAAATCAAAGGGGAAATCAAAAAATACCAAGAGACAAATGACAACGAAAACATGACGATCCGAAACCTATAGGAGGCAGCAAAAGCCATTCTAAGAGGGAAGTTTATAGCAATGAAATCCTACCTCAAGAAACAAGAAAAATCTAAAATAAACAATCTAACCTTACACCTAAAGCAACTACAGAAAGAAGAACATACAAAACCCAAAGTTAGTAGAAGGAAAGAAATCATAAAGATCAGAGCAGAAATAAATGAAATAGAAACAAAGAAAACAATAGCAAAGATCAATAAAACTAAAAGCTGGTTCTCTGAGAAGATAAACAAAACTGATAAACCTTTAGCTAGACTCATCAAGAAAAAGAGGGAGAGGACTCAAATCAATAAAATTAGAAATGAAAAACAAGTTACAACAGACACCACAGAAATACAAAGCATCCTAAGAGACTACTACAAGCAACTCTATGCCAATAAAGTGGACAATCTGGAAGAAATGGACAAGTTCTTAGAAAGGTATAACCTTCCAAGACTAAACCAGGAAGAAATAGGAAATATGAACAGACCAATTGCAAGTAACGACATTAAAACTGTGATTAAAAACCTCCCAACAGGGGCTTCCCTGGTGGCGCAGTGGTTGAGAGTCCGCTTGCCAATGCAAGGGACACGGGTTTGTGCCCCGGTCTGGGAAGTTCCCACATGTCGTGGAGCGGCTGGGCCCGTGAGCCGTGGCCGCTGAGCCTGCGCGTCCGGAGCCTGTGCTCCACAACAGGAGAGGCCACAACGGTGAGAGGCCCGCGTACGGCAAAAAAAAAAAAAAAAAACCTTCCAACAAACAAAAGTCCAGGACCAGATGGCTTCACAGATGAATTCTATCAAACATTTAGAGAACAGCTAACATCCACCCTTCTCAAACTCTTCCAAAAAGCTGCAGAGGAAGGAACACTCCCAAACTCATTCTATGAAGCCACCATCACCCTGATACTAAAACCAGACAAAGATACTACAAAAAAAGAAAATTATAGATCAACATCACTGATGAATACAGATGCAAAAATCCTCAACAAAATACTACCAAACAGAATGCAACAACACATTAAAAGGATCATACACCATGATCAAGTGGGATTTATCACAGGGATGCAAGGATTCTTCAATATATGCAAATCAATCAATGTAATACACCATATTACCAAATTGAATAAAAACCATAAGATCATCTCAATAGATGAAGAAAAAGCTTTTGACAAAATTCAACACCCATTTATGATA